AACTGAACAAGGGGATACCGTATGGTTTAAAGTCAGGAAAGGTGTGTGTCAGGGTTGTACCCCTTCACTATACTTATTCAATCTGTATGCTGAGCAAATAATCAGAGAAGCCAGACTATATGAAGAAGAACACAACATCAGAATTGGAGGAAGACTCATTAACATCCTGTGATATGCAGACGACACAACCTTGCTTGCTGAAAGTGAAGAGGACTTGAAGCACTTACTGATGAAGATCAAAGACGACCGCCTTCAGTATGGATTCTACCTTAACATAAGGAAAACAAAAATCTTCACAACTGGACAAATAAGCAACATCATGATAAATGGAGAAAAGACTGAAGTTGTCAAGGATTTCATTTTACTTGGATCCACAATCAATACCCATGAAAGCAGCAGCCTAGAAATCAAACGATGTAATTGCACTGGACAAATCTGCTACAAAAGACCTCTTTAAAATGTTGAAAAGTAAAGATGTCATTTTGAGGACTGTGGTGTGCTTTACCCAAGCCATGATATTTTCAATCACTTTATATGCATGCGAAAGCTGGACAATGAATAAGGAAAACCAAAGAAGAATTGATGACTCTGAATTATGGTATTGGGGAACAATACTGAATATATCATGGACTGTCAGAAGAACGAACAAGTCTTGTCTTGGAAGAAGTACAGCCAGAGTGCTCCCTGGAAGTGAGGATGGTGAGACTTCATCTCACGTACTTTGAAAATTTATCAGGAGGGACCAGTCCCTGGAGAAGGACATCATGCTTCGAAAGGTAAAGGGTCAGCAAAAAAGAAGAAGACCCTTGTCGATATGGACTGACACAATGGCTGCAACAATGGGCTCAAACACAGCAATGATTCTGAGGATGACACAGGACCAGGCAGTGTTTCGTTCTCTTGTACACAGGGTCGCTATGAGTTGGAATCGACTTGATGTCACCTAACAAGAACAGCAATTAGCAAAGACCATTTTGCCTTGGGCATTGTGCTTTTTAAAGAATTATCTATGTGCAGTTTCAACAGAAAATCCGAAAGTCAGATCAGACTATGTTTTTGGGTAAATCAGTAATTATTCGAATCTTTCTTCAAGAAAATGTTGCATCCCGATAAGTTATTATGTCAATGCTGTTTTGGTCCTGTTTCCTTAGCAATGTATAATTACTAACAATACAGTGGAATATAAAAATCTGTAAAAGATCTTTCTTCTTTGGCACATTGTTGAACTTTTAGTCAGAAATGTTGTCACAATTTGCAAAACGTGTATTAAATAAACTTCAATCAATTTCTATTATTGACTTAATATGATTTTTGTGTTAACACTACACATCTACATAGAAATAGATCTCAATTTTTATAAAAACCATGAGGAAAATAGACCAGGAGGTAATAACTTTAAACCATAAATGTTAGTTATTTCTGGTTAGATTGAGTTACTTTTTTTCTGATAATAAATAGAATACATACTCCTTACAAAAAATTTGTAAAAAAAAGAAAAGTGTAAATTTGGAAAAAAATAAAAGTATAACTATATGATAAATCAATCCCACCCCAGTGCAAGTATGTATGTGTGCATGCATATCTATATGCTAAATACATACATATATACACAGAAATAAAATACATTTTCCTCCTACACATCTAGGATTATTTATTTACTTACATGGCTTGCATTTTTCTTCT